TCCACGCTGCCTCTGGCCTGGCCGCTGGCCACTCCCTCTCGGGAGTGCGCCTCCTGCGGACGGCCGAGGGCCTCCCGCGCGCAGCGGTGGCAGCGCTGCGCTGCCGCCCTGCTGCGCCTCCCCAGCACGCTGGTGCCGCGCCCCCTCCGAGGCGGCGGCGACGCGGGCGCGGCGGCCGAGGCGCCGCCGAGGTGGACGCGATGGACGTCGAGCACTTCTACGACCCGCCCGCGGAGGCCGCGCCGCAGGAGCCTGCCCTCCAGGCTCGGCGGCGGCGGCGCCGTGCGCAGCCTCGTCGTGGGACTAAGGCGGAGGAGGGTGGTGGAGGAGCTGGTGGCGCGGGCGCTGGCGTGGCAGCCAAGGATGGCGGGGAGGGCCCCGAAGCTGGCGCTGCTGCGGAAGGGTGGGGCCTCGCCAACGGCTCCCAGGTGGGGGCGACCATGGGCGGCGGCGGCGGCGGTGCGGCTGGAGGTGCACGCAGGGGCCTCGTGCTCGTGCACGCGCCTGCGGCGGCGGCGACGCTCGCTGGCCCCTCCGAGGCAGCCGAGGAGATGGTGGACGACTCCTGGGCCGATGGCCTGCGGCGGGCGGCGGCTCCTGCGGCAGGCGCAGCGGGTGGCGCGGGCCCGCCCTCGGCTGCTTCCGAGTCCTGCGAGGCGGCCATGGCGCGGATCCTCGCCGAGGCGCGCGCCAGGTTCGCTGCGAGGGGCGGGGGCTTGGGCTCCTGACGCTCGCTGACGCGATGTTCGTGTCCCTGGAGGCGGTCGGGGGCATGGGATGGGGTAAGCTTCCCGCGTTAGGCGGTGGAGCGACCCCAGACCCCCGTGCAGATAGGCTCACGCGTGGCTGTGGAGGCCGCGCCTGGTGGAGTCGTGGGTCGGGTCCTGTGCCAGGGTTGCACCGAGACAGCACCCGCCCCGCCCTGCCCTGGTGGTGCCAGGCAGGGCTGCTGGGGGTCCGCAGCTGGTCGCGAGGCACTCGCCCAGCCTGTGAGCGCGGGAAATATTGCACAAAGTATGTGCACCACAAAGCTTGCACCACAGAGCTTACACCACATTATTTGTACCCCATAGCTCATACCACATTGGTCACATTATATATCTTTCACTGCACATATTATACCACATAGATTACAACACAAACCTTACACCTCCTAGATTGCACCAAATCGAATGCACTACCTAGACTGCACCACATAGCCCACACCCCATACATCACACCACACAGATGGCACCAGATAGCTTGCACCACGTAGCTCACACCACATTGATGAATACGTTAGCGACTAGCTTGAAACAGCTTCAAGCTGAAAAGCGGTTGGATTCCAGATGTGACTCTCGCCTTACGCCGCGGGCATGTATTTCGAAAATCTGCGACAGTTTCAAGGATGAAAGGCGCCTCCTTTTCAACATGCGAATCTCACTTCAGCGCCGCACGCCTTCGGTTCTCAAGCTTGCAGGAGCTTCAAGGATGGAGGGCGGGTGACTTTCAAAACGTAGCTCTCGCCTAAGCGCCGCGCACATTCGTCAAGGCTTGCAGCAGCTGCTAGGATGGAGGCCGGGTGATTTTCATCAGAATGTGGCTCTCACCACAGCGCCACGCACACTCGTCTTAAAAACTTGCTGCAGATTCATGAACTCGTATGGTTGAAGTCCTGGGAATGGTATTCTGGCGCGATGTCGGATTGTCAGGACGCAACAGTCACGTCGATTCGCTGTGTTGACGTCCCCGACATGGCCTTTTGGCGCGATTCTGCATTGCCCGAACGCAACGAGCATGTTGATTCGCGACACTGCTGTCCAAGAAATGTTGTGTTGACACGATTGAAGATTCTAAAGCGGGTGTCTTCCAGTGGTCCACTTCCCGCAATGAATATCAATGATGATAGGGACCTATGAAACGGGTACTTGTAGGAAGGGTTCATGCAACATCGTTGATGCGTCTTGGGTTTACACTAGCTGTCCTCGTGCTCATCCTCTTCCCCATCATCCTTCTCCTCCTCATCCTCCGATCCTCTCTCCTATTCCTCCTCCTCCTCCTCCTCCTCCTCCTCATCATCATCATCATCATCATCAGCATCATCATATTCTTCTTCTTCCTCATCTTCCTCAGACTCTTCCTCCTCATCCTCCTCATCCCCCCTCCTCATCTCCACAAACCACAACTAATAGCTCACATCTCTCTCATGAAAGCGCCAGAAGGCTCCGCCACCCTTCTTCTCCTCCTCCTCCTCCTCCTCCTCCTCCTCCTCCTCCTCCTCCTCCTCCTCCTCCTCCTCCTCCTCCTCCTCCTCCTCCTCCTCCTCCTCCTCCTCCTCCTCCTCCTCCTCCTCCTCCTCCTCCTCCTCCTCCTCCTCCTCCTCCTCCTCCTCCTCCTCCTCCTCCTCCTCCTCCTCCTCCTCCTCCTCTTTCTCCTCCTCTCACGGCGACCAAGGCCAAACAGCGTAAGGCATCAGACATCCTCCTCGCTTTTCCTCCGGCCCCTGCGCCTGCCGCGACAGCGAGTGGTCCTCGGACTCCAGGCCGGTGCAGTTGAACATGTCCGAGAGCCTACGCCTGGGGAGCGCGCCGTCGCCCGAGGCCCAGCCTCGGGGGGGGGCTCGGGGGCGGTGGGCCGGCCGAGATCGGCCCCTTGATGGGACGCAGAGAGACATGCTGGTGCCGTGTTCCCTCCCGAGAGGCGCAAGGCCGAACAGAACATATGATACAGACATCCTATAGCAGGTCGTACATATAGTGCGAACCGAACATATGATACAAATCGAACATATGACGACGACGGCGGCGGCGACGACGGCGGCGACGACGACGTCGACGACGACGACGACGACGACGACGACGACGAGACGGTGACAACGGCGGCGGCGGCAGCGGCGGTGACGACGACGACGACGACGACGACGACGACGACGACGACGACGACGACGACGACGACGACGACGACGACGACGACGGCACTGGGAGCGGCGGCGGCAACGCCCTCCGAGCCGCTGACTGGACCGCTGAGGGCCTCCATGGACCGCCCGAGGGCCGCCGAAGGCCCGCCGAAGGCCCGCCGAAGGCCACCGAAGGCCCTAGGCGGCGGCGGCGGGCGGGCGGCCTCGTTGCGCGTCCTGGGCGGGTTCCGGCCCGTGCGCCCGGCCTCGGGGGCCGCCCGCCGGCGGCGGGCCCCGCGTCCGGCCGCCTGGGGGGCCCTGGAAGAGCACGTGCTCGCGGACCCAGGCGTTGTCGGCCTGCCCGGCGGCGGAGGAGGGAGGGGAGGGGAGGAGGAGCAGGGAAGCAGAGGAGGAGGAGGAGGAGGAGGAGGAGGAGGAGGAGGGGGAGGAGGAGGAGGAGGAGGAGGAGGAGGAGGAGGAGGAGGAGGAGGTGAAGTGAAGTGAAGTGAAGGAGCTCGGGTACGCTGGGGGACGCGAGTCTTCACCAGCGCCAAACGAGGGCGCGGGCAACTGCACTCGCCGAGGCTGAACCCTCGGGTGTCGGCGCGGAATCTCGAGGTGGAGGAGCAGGAGGAGGAGGAGGAGGAGGTGGAGGAGGAGGAGGAGGAGGAGGAGGAGGAGGGAAGTGGAGAGAAGGAGGAGAAGGAGGAGGAGGAGGAGGAGGAGGACCCAGGCGTTGTCGGCCTCGGGCTCTGCTGGATGCGGCTGCCTTCTCTGCACGCGTCCCTGACAGGTGCGCATCGTGAAACATCACGGCGGGAGGCTTGTCCTCGTGTTCGGCGATCGGGGGCCGTCGCCAGACCCTGGGACCGTCAGAAGCCGACTCGGGCGGCCCTGGGGAACGGGTCGGGACTTCCAGGGACCGCGTGCTGCAAAAAGAAAGACATCGCACGACTGCACGCGCAGCTCCTCGGTCACTCTCATCTCCCTGCCGCCGCTGCTGCAGGGCCCCCTCCCGCCCACCAGCCCCCTCTCTGAGACCAGCGGCGACGACACAGAGGGCAGCAGCGGCAGCAGCACCGCTCTCGGCCTCGAGCGAGCGGGACGGCGGCAGCCCCGCGGGGGGGAGGCAGGAGGGAGCAGAGCAAATCGGCAGGAGGGGACGTCAAGAACCGCAGCGCCGTCCAGGACGCCAGCGATGGGGGCCACAAGGATGGGGCAGCATGCTCGAAGAACAGTTCAGGATCTATGTGCTGCCCCGCCCGGCAGCGGAGGAGGAGGAGGGAGGGCAGTGAAGAGGGGAGGAGGAGGGAAGTTGAGGGAGGAGGAAGGGCAGTGAAGAGGAAAGGGAGAGAGGAGGAGGAGGAGGAGGAGGAGGAGGAGGAGGAGGAGGAGGAGGAGGAGGAGGAGGAGGAGGAGGAGGAGAAGGAAGGAAGAAACATAGATGGCCCAAAGGGGCACCATGTTCCGCGCTCTCGTTCTTGTACCAGAGGAGGTGGAGGTGGAGGATTGATTTGGTGGTAGCGGAGGCGGAGGAGTTGCTACTATCTTGGCCCTCGGTGAGGGCAGCCTGGCCTTGCAGTAAAGAGACCCTCGGTGAGGGCTGTCTGCCAGCATTTACCCTCGGTGAGGGCACTGACCCAGCCAGCAAGGCCACACTTCTTCCTCTTTTTCACATTCGTCCTCTTGATCCTCTTCCTCATCATCCTCGTCCTTCTCGCTACCTGTGGCTAGCAAAGGCCCTCGGTGAGGGCACCGACCCAGCAGTAGGGAGTGAGAATTGAGAGAGCAATGCGATCGGTATGATTAAGAGCCCAAGCTCGTGCCAAGTGCGATTGAAATACAAAGCGAGACGACCGCCACGAGCGAGTCGACCACCAGGCGCCCGGTGAAGGCAGTAAGCTCGTGAGGGGGAAGGGAGAGGAGGTGAGGAGGGACAGGGGATGAGCAAGTGGGGAGGAGGAGTCTGTGCTCTGGCTCGATTCAAGACCCGCGCCGAAGGATAGCGGCCAGACCGGTATCGAGCTGGCAGTGCCCATGTACACCAATTGTTTCTGAGGTGTTTGTGCAGACCAATAAAGACCCTCGACGAAGGCAGAAGGGAGCATCGGCGTAGGGTGAGTTAGAAAGCAGGTATGGATTCACTACTGTCACACTAAGAGGCGCCATTAATGATCAGCTTGCACATCGCTATGTGTTCGCACTGCATTCGAAATGTTGAATGCGAATCGCGGCCACTTTTCACCCCATACAAAGACAACTGCGGCAAAGGCTCATACCCAGCAGGTGCCTTGCAATCTTTGGCACAGCGCATCTGGAGGAGGCGGTCTTCATTGGAGGCGGTGGAGGAGTGTGGCAATTCGCACATAGTATGCTTATACATTCCCTCGGTGAGGGAATTTTAGAAATCGACTGCTAGCTGAGGGCCCTTGTCACGGGAAAGGACGGATTGTGGAGACAAAGAATTGGTGGTGGGTGAAATTAACTGTGCTCGTGCCTACTCAACCAGGGCATCCTGGCGACGAAGCCCCTTTGTGAGCCTCTCCTGTGTCCACTTTGTTCGTTTCTCTTCTAACCTTCCGGCACTCTGTCACACCATATGTTTTTGAGTTGCACCTGCTTCTTTCCTCCCTGTGATTTTGTCGTTCGCCCATACGACTCACGCTGAAAGACGCGACGAACCCCGCCCAAATACCGCCCACCAGAAAGAGAAAGGGGACGATAATTGTTTTACGTAAGGCGCCCCACTGGGACCGCCACCTCAAGTGAGCACAGAAGCCCCCGCCTGGCACAGCAGACCCGTGGATCCACTCACTTCAGTTCGGTTCCGCCGCCTCTCGCCAGCTCTTAATAGGCTTGGTCGGGGCCCACTCCCGTTTCTCGAGGACGAGAGGCACTGGAGTTTACAACAGGGCGCGAAGCGAGCACATGTGCAGCAGGCTCAGAAGGTCGCCCACACTCGCCGAAAGCCGTCGACGGGAGCTCCTCGCCGTCGAAAAAAAATCGAAGACGGGATGTCATCGTAGGCGTGCTGGCCTGCCGCATTGAACTCCGTGGGCGCATCCGAAATCTTACGTGCGACTACACATTGGGAGTTATCACATGGGCAACGTGGCTCAACAAGGCATGCACATGTGGAAATCCATCTTGCCCGACCACTCCAGCAACGTGAACCTATACAGCAGGATGAAGTCCAAGACATAGATGCGCTTCCTTTGTTGAGCAAGTATAGACAAAAGAACATCAGCTAGTTTTCTGCGTACGTTGGCCTTCGCTGTCGAATGAAACGTGGCGTTGGCGATTGGCGGATGCGAAGGTTGCACAGCCTGTGGAAAATGCGGCGCCAACCTCTTTTCGCCAATGGACGCCGTACTTCACGAGCTTGATCTGCTTCGTCGGCTGCTTTCGGTGGTCCATGGAAATCTGGGTATCTGCCATCTCGGATACGGTTCAGCCCGTCCTGCCCCTCATTGCTAAGATCATGCTTGTGTCACATCGGTCGCACCGCCAGCTGCGCGCTGCGCGACCCGCGGATACTGCCGCTGCCCAAATGATTCCGTTCGCCGTGGGGAAGGTAGCAACAAGCTCTGATGTGACGAACTCCTGGGGAGTGATCGATCTGACATATTGCACGCAAGATCCGCAAAACAAATTATCGGATTTCTTGGTAGCCACAGCCTGCTTGTCGACAGTAACCTTGCCTCGCGCGGTAAGTGGCCGCTGGAAACACGAAGGGCCCGCCCGCGCAGGGCCCGCGGAAATTCGGCGAGCGCGCAACCGAACGCAAGCGCAAATCGCATCCCACTCGCAAGCACGAGGCAGTTGATTCAATGCTCCGCCCAACGAAATTTCAGCTGCAACCGCAGCACGGGCGCCCACGAAACAATCGCCCGCAGCAGAATTCTGATTGACCAACTCAGAACCATCATCGTCTCGGCGCGAAGGCGCCCGCCCCACCAGCAAGGGACGCTTGCCGTTCGCCGTGATCGCCCCCTCGATGCGGGCTCAGATGTCTGCGTTCTCCCCCTGGTCCAGGATTTTGAGCTACGGCTTTATTCCATGCGCTGAGAAATGAAGCGTGAACGGCCATGTAGATTAAGTCATGCTCGGTCTCATCGACAGCGATGGCGCATGCAATAAGTTCCCCACGCGGCACTGTCTGCCTGTCCGAAATATTACCTGCCGTCATCGCCCATTCTCCATCATTGAGTTTCACGACCGCAACTCCAATACCATTTCTCCGACGTCCCGGGCCAGACCCATAGATGCCTCCTCATCCATCCCCGAACGCGCACCACTTCCGGCCTGGCACCTCGGCACCCTCGCAACGCCCGCAGCGAAAGAAGTCCTGCCCGTCGACGTCGGGGGCGACAGGGGGCGCGAACTCCTCGGGGGAACGCCTCTGAGCCACAGCGCTGGATTGGCTTCGACCCCTGCCAGCGCTTTCTCACGAGATAACCCGCCCGCGCGCAGGCGGCCTTGCCCTCGTTGCACGGGCAGGTGCACGCAAGATGGAGAAGTGATTATGGATTGGCACGGTCTTTTTCACATTGATACCCTGCTTGAACTTGACTCCTCCAGGTCCATCGCCCGCACGCGACCGCCGCATTATCGCGGGCCCAGTATTGCCATTCGCTCTTGTCGCTGAAACGCCTCTGTCCTCTGCTGATATGCCGGGCATCTGCTTCGACCGCGAGATCGCCCTCGCCCGGCGGCTCCGCGAGCTCGATCGCGTCGAAGTCACGAAGGGGGGCCGCCGCTCTTCGCCCAGATGGGGCAGTCATGAAGGGGGGCCGCCGTTCTTCGCCCAGAAGTGCGAGTCGCCCCCACGCGGTAGCTCGGGCTCGTCGCCAATCCGCTGCGACGAGTTCCGCCTGGACTGCTGATACTAGGCCCTTGACCTTGTTCCACATCCTGGAGCCCGCACATGTGGGTTCAGAATACGTCCGAGACCAAACTTGCCGAAACCACTCGTGCATCTCTGGGCGCGAGTGCCATCGACGTAACAGTCACTGACCAGACGGCGACGCCGGGCGATGCAAGGGCCCTTCAAGTTGCACAGAAAGGCCAAGCCAGGGGAGAGACATCGCCCTGGCCCTGGCCCTGCCGCCGATATCATGGCCACCCCCGCTGAACCCCAGACATTGCACACGCAAGTGCCTCGTGGGCACGCGACCGCGTGAACATGCAAGTCGGAGATCTTTGTCACTCTGGTGGCCGTCCCCCTGAGTCTGAAGATCTTGCCAGCTCTGAGCTGTGATTTCTTCTCTCCTTGTCTGAATATGACTTGCCCTCGACTCTGCCCGCGACGTCGTCGAGGCGTGACCAGAGTCGCGCGCCTCGGGCCCTGTCTTGCG